TCACAGTCACGGGCGAGGCGAAGCTCAGGCCTGGTCGGCGCGCCCTGATGCCCCTCCACAGATTCAGACATCGGCTCCTCCACGGCCAGGGGGCGCTCCACAGATCCAGACGTCGGCGCCCGACTCGAAGAAGCGGCCGAGAGACGGAGACGGGCCTGGCCACCCCAATGCCAAGAGGGTACGTTTACCAAAGAGACAGACGAGACGCAGCACGAGAGAATCTAACGACAGCATGGCAGATGGCGAGCGGCAGCAACGATCGGGCGCACCACCGGCACGGGGACGCGAGGGCGGCGCCGACGGGGCCCAAGGCGCACAGGAACCCGCGCGGGGAGCACTGGGAAGGTCGCGAAACGAAGCCGAAGACGACGGTGGATCCATCAGCGATGGCAGCGCTGGGTCTCGTGGCTCCCGAACGGCCTCCTGCTGTTCCGACGGCTTCGACTGGAGCGACATCTGGGCCGTCAGCGCCGACGACGGGCCTCAACCGAGTGAACCAGATCCAGCAGAGGGTGAGACTTGATTTGCACGTGGGTTTTGTTTCACTGTTCTAACGTGTGGTGCAGGCGCAGGCACAGGGGCAGAACCCGGGACAGGGCCCGCCGCGGAAGAAGAAGCCCAAGGGCAACGGCATGTTTATTGAGAGGAAGCCGCCGAGACGAGACTAGGGGCGAGTGTCGTTGGGGGGGGGGAGGGTTTTACTGATTTGCGAGGTTTTCAGCATCTGCATTTGCATAGGGAACGGCGTCACGGAGGGCGGAGGGTGAGCATTTCGGACCAGGCGGCGAAAAGCTGCAGTCTATGGAGAAGAGCTGTGGCTGGCCAAGGTTGGGGTCAAGGATGTACAAGTAGATGGGTGCTGTCTGAGGCAGCATAGGGAAGAGGCAAGGATGTGACGAGGGCCGCAAAAGGCCGGCATCGAAGCCCGAGAGATTAACTTGTAAACATGGGCGCAGTGAGCCAGGGCATGGGGCCATGGGACGTCGTGGAGAGGAGGGATCGTGATGTGTGATGCACATGGTGAATGGTGCCACTATGTTGTTGGGTTGTGAGTGAAGAAAGGACACCAAGGACCCCTCCCCCTCCTCTCACGCCCTGACGTAACATGGCGTGGGAGGTCTGGCAGATCAGTGGATTCAGCGATGGCCAGCGGCATAGAGCACGAGGTGTAACAAGATGGGCAAACAGATGGCGCGCTAGGACCATGACATGGCGTGGCGTGGCCAAGGCGAGCGGGTTCGGGGCATCCTATGAGGTGTGCGAGAATCTTGTCGGATGCGAGAGGACGATGGCAGAGAGAAGGCTCATCCTTGGACAAGGTGGTTCAGAGGCCAGAGGGGCATAAAGGGCCATGTCATTGTGTCACGGGAGGGGGCAAGCCAAAAAGGAGGGGGGCCGCCTCTAGTGAATCGATGGAGGTGGTACATAGTACGCAGTCGGGACAGCCTGACTTGTGGCCGAGCTAGTCTCTGACCTCTGACAGACGACGTCATCAGCGGCTTCAAGCCTCGAGGAGCCGCGACAAGCCACCTGCCTCGTGTTGTCACCTCGGCGCTGCTGCCAGCGGCCCTTGTGCCATGTGCCTCCTGAGCCGTAGGAACTTAAAACGCGTCCACTGGCCTGCCTTTTGGATTCCCTCTCAGAAGAGCATCCCAGTTCAACCCCACCAAGTTACCATTCACACACGCACCAACAACCACACACGCAGCACCCAACACAAACACACCTGTCAATACCGACATACCGACAAAATGGAGAAGATCAAGAACATCATCAACAACACCAGCAAGGACGTGAGTGGCCCTTTCCTCTCCCCCCGAACCCTACCTTTTCGCTCCCCATACAGCCTGGTCGCTGACCCGCACAAACAGGAGCAGGAGAAGCAGTTCAGCACGCAGCCCATCGACGACAAGAAGGACGGCGCCAGCAGCTTCGACCCCAAGACGGCAGCCCACCAGGCGGCGCCTGGCCCCGCGGTGCCCAAGGACTTTAGCGCCCAGGAGGAGGGCACCAAGGAGGAGCGCCGCGCCAAGGCCGCCGAGCTCAACAAGTGATGCCGTCCTCGGACTCGTTTTAGGGAGGCTGGAGGTGTTGCATGAGGGGCTTCTTTGTAATGACTGTATGATATGGGATTCTCGCGGCAGGCAGGATAGGATATAGGCGTATAATCACGTTTACGATGATGAGTGAGGACTTGCACTGACTGTGTTGCGTGCCTGGTAGAGGACCCCGCCTCTGCGTTGGTGGTCCATACCTAGAGGTACCTTACCTGCAGGTACCCCCTGGTGGATGCGAAGACGAAGTAGAGCCTGGATGCACGATGACGAATCCGAGTCTCAAGGTGCCCAAGGTACCTACGACGCAGGCAGCAGGCAACAGGCAGCAAGCAGCAGTGGAGAGCGTGCTTCGGACAGGAATAGGAGACGGACTAGACAGCGGCTCCGTTGTCTAGAAGGGTGGCTGACGGTCCATGTCCGCTGCGGAATGTGGCTAGAATGAACCCACCGACAATTACCTATCTGCGCCCTGCACTTGCGCTGGACGTGCCCAAGAAACTGGGGGCAGGGGGCCTGGCAGCTCAGTCTCAGTAGCAGACAGCCAAGGCACGCATTCCACTACCTACTGCCTAGGTAGGTACCTAGGTAGAACCCTGTCCTTCCATCTCCTTCGCCATCATTCGGGGTTCCGACCCAGCCGCGCGCGAGACGCCGTTCTGATTATCATTCGGGCAACCTCATCTCACTTGCCTGCGTTGGCCATTGTCTACTCGCATCGGCAACCCCAAAAAAAATTTTTCAGAGGGAAAAGGGTCCAGGAAAGGAAACCCCCCGGGGGGTGAAACCCCCCCCCCCCCCCCCCCCCCCCCTCCTCCAACGGATTGTCCAACGGACAACGGCCGTCTCGGGAACCCGGCTGCGACAAAGGCCAGAGGTACCGCCAGGCGACCTCGTCTTGGCTCGTCCCTTGGCCAGCTGGTACCCGATAAGTAGACTATTGGCAGGGCTGGGCTCAACGAATCGGCTCCGTTCGAGCACCACCACCTTCCGTTACCTTGGGTCTTGGTACCTCAGTCTCACTCACCTCAACCTCGTTGCCTCGCCTTACCTCATCCTCTCGCCCTCTCCTCCTCTGCCTTCCATTTGCTACCTCTTCAGCACCCACCCCCCAACACCATATCGCAGGTAGGGCACCTTGGACCAAGGAAACCGGAGGCACTGCACTGCAGCCGCGTGTGAGGAGAAGCAAGCAGCCGCCACCCACCACCGAAAATCACCAACACACGCAAGCGCCGTCCCACTGCGTCGTCGCTCCTCTCTTGCGTACGTACGACGCAAACCGCACACGACCACCACCCTCGCCCACAAAACTTCCCATGACGACAACCTTGGCCGTCGTCCACCCCCTCTGAGCGGTCCGCCATCAAAGCCAACCCAATCTCGTCCACGCCCCCTCGAATCGCTGCGGTCGATCCCTCGAATCGCTGCGATCGAGTTACGCCTTATCGGACCAACCCACCCAACATGCCGTCCATCCTCAACGACGACGACAAGGACACGGTCAAACGCCATGTCCCCAAGCAGACCAACAAGATCCAGGCCGTCGCCGTCGCCCGCCTCTACGTCGCCTACCCCGACAGGACGAGATGGAACAACACAGGCCTCCAGGGTGCCATTGTGCTGTCCAATGACCTCGTCGGCAACACGTACTGGCTGAAGCTGGTCGATGTCTCTGTGAGTGAAGCTCTCCCAAGTTGAGATGCGCCCGCTGACCATGTTCCTTCTTTTTCGCTTCCAGCCTGCCAGCCGCGGTGTCATTTGGGACCAGGAGATCTTCGACACCTGGATCTACAACCAGGACCGAACCTACTTTCACACCTTTGAAACCGAAGACTGTCTCGCTGGCCTCTCCTTTGTCGACGAGAAGGAGGCCAAACAGTTCAAGAAGAAGATGGACGACAGGGAAAAGAATGCCAGCAGGGCCACCCGCTCCACCCCGTTCGGTGGTTCCGCCCAGCAGAGCTCCCATCGCCACGGCATCCTGGGCCTCTTCGGCAGCCACCGACACGCTGCCGCCCCGACACCCCCCGAGTCGCCTCGCAACCACCTGCCGCCGCCCACGCCCCTCGCACCGTCACATTCCAGCCTTCCCTCGCTCGGACATGCCAATGGCCAGAGGTCCTCCGAATTCGCCATTCTCGAGGCCTTTGACCCACATTGGCGGGAGAACTACGGCCAGGAGCTGAGCAACAATGGGCTGGCGGACGACTTTATCAAGGAGAATCAGGAATTCATCGTCGACTTTCTCAAGGACGCGCAGCAGAAGAACGAGGAACCCCCGCAGCCAACACACCGCGCCGCACCGCCTGCTCCTCCCCCGGCGCCTACCTCTGCGCACGCGCCGCCGCCGCCGCCACCACCACCACCTGCCGTCAATGGCAACGATGCCCGCGGCAACAGGGTACCGCCTCCCCCTCCACCACCTCCGCCTGGAGGCCACGGTGATGCCTCCGACTCGCCTTCGAACTCGAGGCGAGGCGCGCCGCCTGCGCCACCGCCCTCACGCCGCCCCGTCAGCCACGAGCCGGCTGTGCCTGAGAAGGAGCCCACGCCGCCCCCCAGCGAGCCTCCGCGACCTCGATTTGCCGTCCCACCGCCCCTGGCCGATGCCGGCAAGCTCGCCCACGTTCCACCTCCACGGGCGGCGCCGGCAGCCCACACGCCGAACCCCGGACCTCCGCCGCCTCCTCGCCCTCCCAAGACGCCCATCCACGAGGAGGAAAGGCCCGCAAATCACCGGTTTGGCGTGCCTCCCGCATTCACCGGTGCCAGGAACCCCGTGCCGCCTCCCCCCCCTAGTCGCAACACGGGACCTCCTCCTGCGCCGCCCAGCCGGGGACCGGTTCCTCCAGCGCCGCCCCCAAGAGCACCTGCGCCGTCCATGCCCGGGCCGCCCCCGCCTTTGCCCCCGAAAGGTGCTGGCCCGCCACCCCCGCTACCACCTTCGACAACGCGGCCGGTGCCCCCTCCTCCTGGCGCCAACGGCATTCCCGCGCCTCCTCCTCTGCCGCCGAGCGGCGCACCTGCCCCTCCTCCTCTGCCGCCGAGCGGCGCACCTGCCCCTCCTCCTCTACCATCAGGCGGCGCACCTCCCCCTCCTCCCCCGCCGCCTCCAACACCAGGAGGCCCAGGCGGTCCTCCTCCCCCGCCACCACCTCCTCCGCCCGGCGGGCTCGGCGGTCCGCCACCGCCTCCGCCAATGCCGAACCGCGATTCGGGTTACGCATCGGGCGTGCCGCCCGCCGCCGTGCCAAGCGCCGACCCCAGCCGATCGGCCATGTTGGACGGCATTCATAAAGCCGGCGGCATCGGCGCGCTCAAGAAGGTCGACAGGTCGCAGATTCGCGACCGAAGTTCAGCTCAGGTCGGCGGCAGCGGCGGTGGCGATACGGGACCCCACGGCAGCGGTCTCCCGCCGGCCGGCGCTTCAAGCGGAGGCGGTGGAGGCGGAATGGCTGACGCGCTGGCCGCGGCGTTGCAAAAGAGGAAGGAGAAGGTCAGCAGGAGTGGTAAGTCGATCCCCTGTCTTGTGCTGCCTGTGCTGTGACGTGGAGCATGGAGACTGACGAAATGTGCAGATGACGAGCGTAGCGACAACGATGACTGGTAAAGACCCGCCAGGGTCTTGCCGACTCTGGTTGTGTAGATGGAGATGGAAGTATTGAGCCCGTGTAGCCAAGATGAACGGCTCCGTGAGCTTGCGAGAGAGGGAGACGGGGCTCATGATGGAGGAGGTGTTCGAACATGGAGACGAATGCACGCCATGGAAACTCGGTCCTTCAACGCTCCGTCTGTCAACACAGGCAACCGAGTTGGCGGAGCGCAGGGTGGCAAACAGTCACAGTCGTACAGAACGAGAATACGATTTGGCGTGAGACGGCCTCCGAGGCGCAATAAAAATGAAGATTGTTCATCTCCGGTCTTACTGGCCAGTGACATTGGCTTATTGTGGTGTTGCCCGTTTCAAGATTTACGGTAGCTCACTGGTTGCGCTTCCGTACGACAAGACACAGGAAAAGGACAACGGGCTACGAGCGAGCATGCGTCATGCAAAGCAGAAGTAGAAGTGTTCTATCGTTATTTTGTTTGAAAAGAAGATATCCCCCGACGGGCCGTGACGTCCCTCCCACCACGACCTGTCCCGTTCATACGCCTCCGCGCCTCTACTGTCGCGTGATCTGACGGAAACGGAGGGGGGTAGGGGGGTATTTCCCGACCCGCACCATCGCCGCCCGATTGGAGAGAGAAGACAGTAATCCTACCGCCGGTCACCCCACGACGGGGGAGGACCAGCGGAGGGGCGCGTCGGCCAACCTCGAGAGCCGGCTTCAGGCGAGGCTCAAGAGCCTCGAGAATGATGACGAGTACATCATGCGATCAAGAAGAGGAAAATAACAAAAAAAGAGGACAGGGTTGCTTTCTTTTAAATGTCATCAATGGCAATGTCCTTCTTGCCCTTGTTGCCGTCCTCGGTGTCGTCCGAGTCGTCGTTCCGAGTCGTCGCGGTCGTCGTCCAACTCAAAGTTGCAGTCGTCGTTGCCTCGGCGCCCGTACGTGTCCGTCTCGTTGATCTTGGCCGACTCGGGCAGCTCGCCGTAGGGCCTTGAGGGAGCGGGCCTCGTCGGCGGTGTACTTGAGGATGACGTCGCCCTTGTCGTCCTGGTACTCGCGCAGCGAGAGCAGGATGATGTCGCCCTGGTTGATCCAGACCTTCTTGCGGAGCTTGCCGCGGATGTTGCCGAGGCGCTTGGTGCCGTCGAAGCAGAGGGCCTCGAGGCGGCCGTTGCCGAGCATCTTGACGACCTGGGCGTACTCTGTCGTGGCGGAGGGTCAGCCTTGTGCGCGAAGGGGGGTTGGGGTTTCCCTTTCTGGGTCTCGAGGTAGAGGAAGCACACGACGTACCCTGACCGTCCTCCTTGAAGGTGAGTTCACGCTTCTCGTGGTCGGACTCGTTCTTTCCACGTCTGCGGTTCTTGCCGCCCTGTTTTCGGTCGTCTTGTCAGCCATGGCTCGTCGTCGTCATCTTGTGTGGCCCGGGAGTCGGGCGCGGATGAGGCACATGGAGGGGGCGGGGCAAATGTCGCGGACCCCGCGCTTAGGGAGGGAGCACGGCGGCGAAACCGCGCGGCGCGAAGACGTCTCGGTGGCATCGGACAGAAAAAGCAGGCGAACAACGTACCTTTCCCTTGTTCTTAGGCATGCTGGGTGGTTGTGGAGGGGGGGGTTGTTTTGGAAGGGATTGATGTGGTGACGAGGAGGGTGGAGGACGAGGGAGGAGATCTGGGGCGTGGTGTGTTTTGTAGTTTGACGGATTTAGGCCGCCTTGGGCTTTTCACTTGAGGGGCAGATTCGGAACGAGGGGCGGCGGCGGCGAGTGGGCACGTTTTGTGCTTTGGTTTGTGGTTTGTGCAGGTTCATGCTTCTGTGAGTCAGTGGGGTTGTGGTGGGGCAGCACCCTCCGTTTTGGCCAACACCTACCGTAACCTAGGTGCTTGTACATGTACAAGCAAGCACACGCACCTCGATGGTGCCAGGTCAAAACGGTCAGTACGAGAAAAACGGATCCGCCAATACAACCTCTTCCCTACCCAGCCATCATGATGTAAGGTACCTTGCATAGCAACTGCGTCCTTGCGGCTCTGAACATGACTCTGGCTTGCGGTGGCGTTGATTAGGATGTGACCACCAAAGTCAAGAAGCAGCCTTTGACTCTACAGGTGATTCAGGGAACCCTGTTGGTGCCTTCCCCGTTTATCACGACTGCCTATAAAACCACAATACCACTCAACCTAATCCTGCCTTGGCTAGCAACTTCACTCTACCCAAACCTCTCCAGCACCTTCAACTACGTTCACGAATAATTCACCGAGTTTTCGTCACAGCCATCTATCCCTGCCTAAGCTTCCGATTTCATAACGAGACGACATCATGGAGAAGCAGAACTTCATGCAGATTGCAAGTAGTTTCTACGATGCTGTGCAAGATCAAGATAATGCATCGAAGCCTAACTCGAAGGACCTATCCTTTGTGGCAATGTGCATGAACCCAACACGCACTCGAGCCGAAGTCGACTTTCTCTACTCTGATGTTGAAAGACGACTAGAAATCATCAAGTCCATCCATGACTACATCTCGAGTACGGGCTCAGAACTGGCTACCGAAATTTGGAAGAGTGTACAAATTGCATCCTTCTGGGCTTTCCTCTTCACGATCTCCGTCCAACAACTAGTCGATATCGAGATTTTCCTCCGCAATAATAGCTCCCCCGATAGAGTATCGCTTGAAATGCGGCTCTTCCTACTTCAGACAGAAGTTAGCCAAATTGAGCGGATGCTAGACAATTGTATACCACGGCTCCCTCTCACCTTTACGCAGCTAATTAATGTTTTTCTCAGTCTTCGCATCGTCATGCAGGAAGAAACAAGTGCCACCTGACATGATCATCAAAAGGGATCAAAATCTAGCCAAACAGGTAAGCTCAGTGCCCGTTACCTGATGGTTTGAGTACTAATCTTCTCCTAAGTGTCTGGAGCGGGATCAAAGTCATTGCGTCGTCACTGGCAGTGCATATCCACAAGTTTGCCACATCTTTCCGCACTCTTCACTCAACACAACCGAAACACCGACAGTCTTCCAGTCCCTAAGTATAATTTGGGGCGACCGACTCAAGAATTTACAATCTCTGGTTTGCCGTGGCGATGGATGTATTATCGAGAGCCTCCAAAACGTTATTTGTCTTTCACACGACCTCCACAAGATGTGGAGTAAAGGTCACTTTGCCTTCTACCCAGAGCCAGCCCAGCCAGAAGGTGATGGCTGGTCTATGAGATTGAGGTTTTGCTGGATGGAGAACGTTAGATTCGACCCATCTCAGCACATTACGGAGCACTTCTTAAGCACGCCCAGAACGGTCATTAATGCGCAGCCTCTCACTATACGCGGTGCCCTCGCAGCAGTACAACTTGTAAAAAGCACGCCTATATTCGACGGTAAGATCGTCAACATTCGGGCAGCGCGTAAAGAAGACCTTCCAAGTTACGATATATGCCTTCTTCAGTACGATATCATTCGAATGGCCGCGCTGTGCGGTGGCGGTAATGTTCACGAGGAGAGACTTGACGACGACGAGGGCTCTGTTCCCGATTCAGGTCTTTCGTCTCCACGAAGCCCATAGCACGGCGCTGCAAAGAGAGAGAAAAGTCTTGGGTCACAGGTGTTACTTTCACAACAACTTGGAGGGATGTCGCTTTCTCCATTGACCGCTGAGCAGCGGAGAGCTACGCACAGACGTGCGTGCTCTGCGCAATTGACTCCTCCTCGCGCGAATGCTGGCAGCTCTGACCAGACTAGGTCGAACCCACCTTCACCTTGCCACTGAGGAGCCCTGCGGTGTGGCCGCAGGTGGGTGAGGAGTGAGTGTGCGGACTTTCGGCATTGGGGATCTGGTGGGTTTTAACCGGGGTTGATCCTCGAGACAAGTGAATAAGAAGTTCGACGGGAGGCCGGAGCTCGCGAGCACCAATTTTAATTCACACGGGGTCGGCTGCTAGGGGGTATCGTGGTCCACTGAAAGTTACCGTTAACCCTCCCGAAGCCTCCGCTAGAGACAACATTAGAAATAAGATTCAACAAGAGACAAGCGAGAATTATACAAGTGATGGGGGTTCAAGTATGGATGTATTAGTTAAGTTAGTAGATGCTAGAAATAGGTATTAGGTGAACCTTGAGTGATATATGCCCTCGCTAGACGAATACCCCCTTGTATTGCATTTCTAGTACCGTTCCCCTAAGTAATACAATATTCCCCACGACAGCCAGGTACTGGAACAGCAGCGCAGGTACCTCGAACAATGGAGAAGCTCTTGCTACGGTCAAGGTTCATACACGACTAGACCTGCAATATCAAGCAACGACAGCATCACGCTCGCCTTGATGCGTTGCCTGCCTCTTCTTTGTCCAGAGCACTCCTGACGAGGGTTGACGCACAGCACCACCTGAAAGGCCATGCTGCCGCGGCTCGGCCATGGCGCGCGCACCTCGCACCAGCTCCTATCGCTCGCGCGCCGGCCATGGCCATGCCCACGACAGCTGGACCACCTATTTGAACTGCGGCTTTCGGTGCCGCAAAGTTCGCGCCGCAGCCTCGCATCAACGCCCTACCGCTCAGCACGCCCGTCGGCGGAGCACCGCATCGACAGATACATCCAGTCGGCCCTCGAAGACATGGACGTGCGGCCGCCGAGCGCCATGCCGCGCCCCGCGGTGAGCATGACGCCGCGGACGGCGGACGCGTCGGCGCTGTCTTCGCTCGCGTCGGCGCGGTTCGCGCCGGGCTGGCACGTCGTCAAGGCCAACGACCGGACGATCCTCGCGCCGCTTGGCGCACGCGCGCAGCGTGCAGCGGCTCGCGCACTACCGGGACGCGGGCGTCGCAGCGGCCGCTGTGAATCGACTGGATCGTGCTGCAGGCCGGG